GACCAAAATAAAGATAACGATAATCCTATTATCATTATAAGTAGTGACACCAAAGCCGTCTCTAAGGCATCAAATCTGTCAATCAAAAGAGAAAGTAGAGTTATTTTAAAAAGATTGGTATTTTAAGTCCTTCTGTTGTGCATGCCATGTTTGTAGCATGGTATGCTAAAATTATCTTATGTTAGGTGATTAACTTTCAAATATTATTTGAAATATGTTAAAGAGTATCAATTATTCAATGAAAATTATGCTTATTTCGTATTTCTTTACCCACAACTTCCTTTACTTTTGGTTTTTATTTTTTGCTATATGTTCAAAAATATTTTTGCTTCCTTTATCCCCTGGTTCTAAATATTATCGAGCTAAAATCAATACGCTTTTTTGATGTATAATATAGTGAAGTTCTTTTACTTTTTCTCCCTTTCTCTCTCCTTCTCGAATTATTTAATAGGAACCTTTCCAATATCCCATATTACATTTATGACAAACGAAACTAGCTAGTACTATTTGTGATCTTTCCTTTGAAGATTTTTTTGGTACAGGATGTTAGATTTTAGCTTATGACAAATACAATGAATAAAAAAAGTATTGCTAATTGAATAAAAAGTTAAGAAATAATGCATCGTACCTCATTTGAAATACAATGGATGTACAACTCTGGCGAAATGCAAATTACTACAAAATGTGCAAAGTACAAATTTTTTTCCTCGGAATAATTTGCCTGAAATAGAATCGAAATGCTAAAGAAGTCATAAAATTCGAACTTCATAAATAATTAACAAAAATAAACATGAAATAATCATGGCCAACTTCATATAATACTTGATATTCAAAATGCAAAACAAAATCTACATCTCTTGCACACCAAAACTTATAGCAAACACTTTTCTAATATAGGAGAAAATAAAAAATAAAATTGACATAATTAGTTTGCAACATTTTCTGATAACTTCATCCCAATAAATATTCCCGCTAATATAGCAGATGAAATAGCACTTGTTGCATTTTCATTTGTTACCACTTGTTCACTTTATTCAACAGCCGAGCTTGAAGATGGCTATTCCTGTGAACAGTTTGTTGTTTGAAATTTGTTAAAGGCTTCTAAGGCTTCATCATAATATTGGAAAGCTTGGAAGTAGCTACCCCCAACTCCAACAATCATATTAACACACTCAGACCAATATTTGTATAATCCCGGCTTTTTACCACAAAATACAACAAAAACCATCGATTTGAGAATTTTTTTACCTTCAAATGATTTTTCAAATTCTTTGAACGCGGATATGGCTGCACCATGAGATTTGAAAGACTGGAAGATGCTACGCTTAACCCCCGATAACCATAAGAGAACATTCACTCCATGAGTAGTATATTCCTGGCCTTTTACCAGAAAATACAACATATATTTTTGAAGCACTATTCTTCTTCGACTGCACCATTGTTGATTCCTTAATCTATTGACTCACACTTAGAAGAACATAGGAAATTAAGAGATGAAGAAACAATCAACTATTATGTTTGTTTAAGTATTAGCTTTTTGAAGAGGGATATATATACCTTAGGGTTCTGTGTTTGGCCATCTAGGGTTGTTTAAATATTAGGGCTTTGAAGACCTTATTATACAAAAGATATACGAAATACACAATCAAGTATATGTATATAGACGAATAAATTCGAAATATATACGCGTATACTACAAAAAAAAAGATGAAAAAATACGTCCATGGGAAAGAGGGCATGCATGCTTGATATTTCCATGTATTGGGAAGACAAGCATTCAATAGATGTGAGAGAATCAAGGAGAGAAATTCAAACCCTAACGGGAAGGGCAGTTTTGGTATAAAATTAGCACTAAAACCCTAATTTGGATGTGATTTTACATTAATAACCCCATTTGGGTCATTGTGGCAAAAAAGAGTGGGGCAGAAAGGAATTTTCCAAGCCATAATATAGTCTAATGTGTTCCATTAATGGTATTCTAGCAAAACAATAATTGGATACATTTAATTTGTTCGAGAAGGTCGTTGTCATCTGTATGTCGAATAGCAGCTACCTACCATACATTTTATTTCATCATACGCTAAAAAGAATGTGATGATGGAGAAGAATCTATAAAAGTTGATGGTTTTTGGGCTCATTCAAAGAACGTCGCATATTACATTATTCGCACTGGAACGTAGCATATCACTATGTTGTTTTGGACACCAAACAACTTAATGCTTGAGTTACACGGTTGAACTATTGGAGCAAACAATACCTATGTTAATCAATTTTATAACTTTTTTTTGAAATTGAATACTTTTTATTTATATGTTTCAGTGGCAGTTGTCAATTAGCAAATCGTAGACAAAATGTTTAAGATATTCCCAAGTGAACTTTTTGATGTGGGAAACCACCATTCAAATCTTTTGGGAGCTAATTAGTGTATATGAAAATATCTACTAAGTATGTATTTTAATCATGGTTAAAATGTTGTTCTGTTAATTATATCTAAATCATTGATATTATAATGCATGGGTCATGGATGTATCACATTTTCAAATAAATAAGAACTCGGAAATACGTATACGAGATGAAATAGAGAGGAGCTGTGCACCGTTGAGGAAGAAAGAAAAATAAGAAATATAATCATTGAAATGAAGAAAGAAGCTGTTGTGAACCCTTTTTACAAAACAGACGACTTGGGACAGCTGTCGCACGCAAATAAACCCACTAAAAAGAAGACACGTACTCCCCCTCACCAGCTAATATCATAGGACTGAAATAAAACAAGGCAGAATGACATCTGGCATTTGTCATGCCGGTCCTCAAACTCAACAATATGCTAATTGAAAACTTACACTCGTTCAAACCGTGTATAATAAATGCTTATGACAGGAGGTTGTTAGTGCGTGTAACATAATTTCCTCCATGTTGGCTGCCACGTTAAAAAATAACAATGTGTAGATGCCATGTCACATGGGAGATTAAAAATAATTAAAATAAAAAATAAAATAAAAATAAATATAATATTCAAACATTAATCCCCTAATTCCCTCCCTCAAATGGTGCGACTGTTGTGAACAGTAACACAGTAACAACGGAATGGCCACTGTACCGTTGTCCGATGGTGAAAAGCCACCGGACCAGTCCCAAAAGATGCGTCTCACCATTGCGCATAAACCCTACCTAGGCGCCCCTCTCATTCTTCCCAAGCTGCTGCAGATTTCAACAATGGTGGATCGGGTACTATAGCGAAAAATCGCCTGGGCAAAACTGATGTTTATCATATCGGTTCTGGTTCAAATCGAGTGATTCCAAGCAGTAGAGATTGTTCTCCACTTCAAATACCATCGACTCACCAAGTTTCAGACAATTTCAATGCCGGAATAGCCTCCTCCAACCAACTGAATATGGCCCGCAAACAACAGTTGGTCGAGCATGGAGCTATAGGTGTCCAAATTGAACAAGACCAATGCCAATTGACTCCAACTGAGCAAGTGATTGATGCCAAACGATCAAAGAACAACTGCAATGAACCAATCGTTACAACAATTCAAAAAACAAAATCTGCAAAATTGCAGACACCAGGTGTTCGACGAAATGATAAAGTCAGTTTTAACAAGTCTTGCGTTGTTTGATTTTTGAAATTGGGAGTTAAATTTTCTCAAAAAACTCTAATCTTTTTAAAGGATTAATTGGTGAAAGATGTGTGATTTGTGCTTCAAAATCCTTTATGGGTTAATTTTGAGGTGTGGTGATTTCTGAGGATTTTTCGGTTGACCCTTATTTTGGCTTGTTGGTATTTTGATAATTTGATGTGTTTTCCTTCTACAAAAAGGGCATATAATTGAATTTTTAAAAAAAAAAATCTGAATTATTGGTCAAAGGATTCTAAATTCATGATAAAGTTTCAGATTCGAGGGAAGAAACAAACAAAGAAGATATGGGAGGGGAGAAAGAATTGGACAGAAAATGTTGGAGAGAGAGAGCAAACAAAAAAAAGAATTGGACAGAAAATGTTGGAGAGAGAGAAAAGCAAAGAATAAAAGCTCACTTTTTTTTCAACAATGGATCGGAGGATGAACAATCGGAAAGAAGATGACAGCCAAAAAATGGCTCTTGGTGCCTTTTTAATGGGCCGCACGCTCCTTAAACGAGTGTAGCACACACACTTCAGTAAAAAATGCCACTTCGGATGAGCTGGGTTTAAAATGCTTAGTTTTTAAGGGTAGAGGGGTTTTGTTGGCAAATTGTTGAGTTTGGGGACCGGCATGACAAAGTGGCACAAGTATAGGTGTCATTTAGGCCATTCTGCCATAAAACAAACTAAACTTACGGACTCAAATTGAAAAACCGAAAAGTAATAAGTAAAACACCTAGTCCTTACGTTTCAAAAAGATTCTTACTATTTACTTATTAGTCCGTTCCAACAAGATTGATACATTCTTATATTTTTTAATGAGAAGTACTTATAGCCACACAAATGTTATGACTTGTTTAATACAACATGTTTCAAAAGTTTTATAGTTACACAAATATTACGGCAATGGAAGTATTTAATACCACAAATTTTAAAAGTGTTCGTTTCTTTATTAAGAATTTTGCCTAGTCAAATCAGGATAAATAAATTGAAGTGAAGTAATTAATTAATCAAACACCCCCTTCATTAATTAGAAGATGGATTAGATAGATCCGGATGTACGATGTTCTATTTAAGACTATTGGTTATTATTGTCTTGTAGAGTGCAATGCCAAAGACTAGAGAGGGTAAATGGAATTTACTTATTTTAAAATCAAGCACAGTCCTCGGACACTTTCTCTATAAATAGCTTACCATCTATCATGTGTGTCGTCAATTCATGCCCATCTCAATGCAAAATATGAATATGATGAGAATGTAGCTGAGACACCGTGCATTTGCAACTCTTTCACTTCTCTCGCTTTGTTACTGATCATCCCAAGGGTCTTGGCCGCACAATGTGGTCAGCAAGCCAGTCTACGAAAACCAGACATAACCGAAATAATTAGCAGTGAATTATTTGACAAGCTGCTGTTGCATAGGAACCACAATGATTTGTCTTGCTAAGGGCTTCTACACGTACGATGCCTTTGTGCAAGTGGCAAGGAATTTCACGGGTTTTGGCACCACCGGTAGCATTACTGACCGTAAAAGGGTGGTTGCTGCATTCTTGGCTCAAACATCCCATGCAACTACTGGTAATTTTTACTCAAATGTATTAAAAGTTTAAGGATTAACTTCTACCACAACAATTAGTAATATAATTTTTTTTTACACAAACAATGAAATTAACCTATTGTAGACTTAGACAAGTGCATATCATATTATGAGTAATTACCTTTAATGTGACTTGAAAGTGTAAAAAAATGTCAATAATGTGACTTGAAAGCGTAAATTTTAAATTGCCAAAAGTTATTATATAGTGCTACAGTATGATAATTTCTAGGTTCCAGAGTAAACTGCATTGCTACCTTGGCTTTCTTAATTTGATCTTCAAATTGCCAACTTCGGCGAACTACTTATGTTAAGTTCCTAACTTGTAAGTTATATCCTTGAACAGGTGGTTGGCCAGCTCCACCTGATGGCCCTTATACATGGGGTTACTGCTTCAAAATCGAAAGAGGCAACCCTGATTCCCGCTGCAAACATGGCCGTGCGCTCCCGGCAAGAAATATTATGGACGAGGCCCCATCCAAATTTCATAGTACGTTCTCTTCCCTTTTTTGCACACATCCATTGAGTGGCACAACGTCTATTTTGTAAATCTACTAGTGCTCTGCTTTAAGATATTTTGCCTTGAATCTACTAGTGCTCTGTTTGCGATATACAGAGGCGGATCCAGGATTTAAATTCTATGGGTTCAATCTTTAAGATTTTTAGCATTTAATTCATTATATGTTTAAAGTTATGGGTTCACATCTATTATTTGTTGCAATTATAATAAATTTTACACATAAATTTGTACTCCGCAACGAAAGTACTAGGTTCAGTTGCACCCGGTACCGAAGGCCTGGATCCGCCCCCGGTGATATACTAACTAGAGGCTCAATTTTTGTTTTAAACCATATTAATGCAGCAACTACAACTATGGGCCTTGTGGAGTTGCAATAGGAGAAGACCTCCTAAGAAATACTGATTTGGTGGCTGCTGACAGAGTCATCTCATTCAAAACTGCACTTTGGGTCTGGATGACTAGTACTTCTAAACCACAAATGCCTTCGTGCCACGATGTCATCCTCGGGAAATGGAAACCGTCCCCATCAGACATAGCAGCCAATAGGCTCCCTGGTTACGGGGTCATCACAAACATCCTCAACGGAGGATCAGAATGTGGTCATGGTTCTGACCCGAGGGTAGAGGATCGAATTGGCTTCTACTTGAGATACTGCAAAATTCTAGGTGTTAGCCCTGGAGAGAACCTTGACTGCGGCAACCAGAAGCCTTTCGGGCACTTGAACTCTATATATGTAGAATAAATTAAGCTACTCTAAATAAGAAGGTGCTTTATTAATTGCACGTTTTAATTCATGAAATGGATGTTTGTAATCATGCTCATGGGACGCTATATGATAAATAAATGAGGTTTTCATATATCCTCTGTATAGTAACTGTGTCACTCTGTGTGATGATGGGGGTGTAAGACAATAGAGCATGTATGTGTACTCTCTGAGGTTATCTGCTACAAAGTCCTACTTTATTGGAAATTAGAAATAGCTCAACCATTTACAGAGTTATTCACTCCTCTTTCTCCACAAACGGAAATTAAAGAAGGTAAGAAGAAAATCATGAGAACTAATTAAGCCAATCGTGTATTGCTACCAGTTATACCAAGTGTGAGAACTAATTAGCCTACAATATGCACTCGTGACTGGATTTTTTTTCTTCCTTAATTAGAGCTGAAAAAACATATTTACTTAATTAAGTAGTTTACTATTGTAAAGTTGCCTTTTGAAAAATAACAAAGAAATTTGTTGAATTCTTGCTATCCATGATTTCTTAATAATATTGTTAACTAATATATTAGTTTTGTAAGACAAACGTTAGCACGTTATTGGATCTTTTGGGATTACTATAACTTTGTTAACTATAGCATATAATACAGACTTGAGTATGAAACAAAGTTGCAGGATCAACTTTTATTTATGACAGATCAGCTGTCCAGAAGCTGAATACTAATGTGGGGGTTAGAAATGATTACGGGTTATTTAATTTTATATCCCGTTTCACCATTTTATTTGAGTGAATGATTACGTTACTCTATTAATCTTAAGTGTAGAATACAAATCCATTCCTATCACCCTTGTAGGGCATGAAAAGCTGAAATTGGTTAAACAGAATGAAACTTGGCTAAAACATCATGGCTAGTTTTGATATTCCAACAATTTGTGTTTCTCCATTTTTGATATCACAGGAAGATGAAGATAGGAAAAAGAAGGTTATGGAGCGAATAAGGGAAGCCTGTGTTAAATATAGCTTCTTCCAGATTGAGAATCATGGAATTCCTTTGGAGTTGCTGAACAGAGCCATGGATTTGTACAAAATCTTCTTTGATTGTTCAGATGAAGATAAACTCTTGGTCTCTCCCAAGCCTGGAGGAACTGTACCACCTGCTGGTTATTTAAAAAGTCCACAACATTCAGACGAGAAGAATGAGCACTTATTGATTCTTAATGCATCCTCTGGCGTCAGTGTCTACCCCAAAAATCCACCTCAATTCAAGTACGTCTTTATATTCTCATCCTGATTATTCCTACTTATACACTTCCAAATTGGTTTCGGTTAGTTCTGGAAAATAATTTAGGAGAAAAGTCGTGTATTCAGATTAGTTTCAGATCTTTTCTGGATCCGGAACATATTTTGAATTGATTTTTGAATCCAAATTTGATGCTAATGGAACACTATTGTTTTTTAATTTTATAAGGATTAAACTAATAGATATCTATATCAGAAGGGATTTGCTACAGTATTGGAAATTCCGCAATCTCTGTTACTAAATTAGTCAAACTTGAATCTAGGGAGAACCCAGCCCGAGCAAAGAGTAACTCTGTTATGGTGCTTCCAGAAGAACAAAAATAATTTGCATTTTCGTCTTTGTTTAATTTGTAAAGAGAATCCTTACTTTTATGTATTGGACTATATAAGATGAACTTAAATGAAGCTAAGATGGACACTGAGGATTCATATGGTCGATCTAATTTACTTGAAATTGAGGTAGAATTGTTATTATTGTCACAGCCTTAACTTCTTTTGTGGAATACTTTTGAATTTTGATATTCTTAGACAAGTTTTGGAGGAGATGATTTCGCACTTCACCAAATTAGGGGTTCTATTGGAGAGCATCATAAGTGAGTGTTTGGGCCTTCCTCCTAACACACTCGCAAAATTCAACAACGATCGGTCATGGGACTTCTTGATTGGTCTCCACTATTTTCCAGCAACAGAAGCTGAAGATAATGGGAAATCTGCACATGAAGATGGCAACTGCATTACTTTTGTCTACCAGGATGAAGTCGGAGGCCTTGAAGTGAAAAAAGATGGGCAGTGGATCCCTATAGCACCTTCCAAACACAAACTAGTTGTTAATATAGGTGATGTGATTCAGGTAAACTTAGCTGGTTTCAAAGTTAATATAATTACCATTGTCACAAAACTAAAAGAATAAGTTGTTTGACATTAATATTCCTTGTTTATGATTGTATGGAAAAAGGCGTTGAGCAACAATAAATTCAAGAGTGCAACTCATAGAGTGGTGAGACCGAGAGGAAAAAGCCGCTACTCGTATGCGTTCTATTATAACTTGCAAGGAAACAAGTGGGTTGAGCCATTACCACAGTTCACCAAGGAAATTGGAGAGTCTGCCAAGTACAAAGGATTTTTCTACAAAGAATATGTGCAGCTGAGAGCAAGAAAATGGACTCATCCACCAAGTAGACCTGAAGATCTCATCCATTTAACTCACTACTCAATTTCTAATTAGAGAAGTATGTGATCAAATCAATATGGAAAGAAACATATATAGGTATAATATGTATGATTTCACCTCAACTATGCAGATAATTCATTTGAGTGTCAGTTCTTCAGTCAGCTATTGTATTTCACTTGTTTTCTGAACCTCTTCTTCAATAGATAGAACACTATCATACAAGTGTTATTAGACTAATTCTGATTTTTAAGTTACATGGCAGAGATGTGCTCTTTTAACTAATTGAAAACGATTGCATTAAGCAAAGTTGGAACTACGCTGATATATGTAACAGATTTAGCATGTTCAGCCTTTCAAATTATTTTTTGTTGATATAGACATAGTTAAGTTATTTTCCTGTTTCAAAAAATATTTTTATGACGTTGGTACAATAATCAGAAAGTTAGATGAATTTTCGTGAAGTGAACCCCTTGTAAAAACTTGTCAACTGTTAGAAGGCATGATCTAAACCCATGGGTCTCCCTGCTAACTTCTCTAAATAAATATTACAAAAGCTTATTTGATTGTCTCAACAATTCTTCAGATTCAGTGCTTTTCTTTTTCCCTCTTCTTGTACTGTGCTATTCTTTTCGTTGGTTTACTCACTCTCTCACTGCAGCTATGTCAATTCTTTCGCCCCTTTTTCTTCTAACCATTTTGAGCTCCTTTAATCTGTCCATGCTTAAATACAAAAAACATGGTAAGCACTATTAATTTAAACGGCTCAATTAACTATAGATGTGTGTCCTGCCACTGTTCGTTGTTAATGTAAAATACTCAAACTGCAGATACTGCAATCTTGTTTATTATTTTCAAATAACGTCAAGTGCTGCTTCAAATTGTTTACTCTATTTTTGGATACCAATGCACGTCTCTTCTACCACAATTAAAGCCAGATGGAATCTAGAGTAATGATTTTTTTTATATGAGCAAATCTTCAAAATGCTAAAAAATTTATGAAACAAATGAGGAAGAGTACAAGATGAGATCTAACGTCGCAAATTATAATAGTTATATATGTGGTGAAATCACGTGAAGTTGCCAAATTGAAGGCTCCATGTGAGGTGGTTAATTATATTATGTCCCTCTCTATGGTTCTGCAAAGAGAGTAAAATTAATTGATTTAATTAATCAATAACCACACTTATCCCATTTTTTAAAATATGTCATCAGAGCGCCAAGCTAATCATCAACCAACAACCCACGTATATAGACGTACACTTAAAACCATCTCATTAATTTTTTTCATATAGTTAGTGTAATCTTGAAATAAGCTTCTTCTAGTATTACATTTTTCAACACAAATACTCAGTTTGTAACCTCTTATTGTATGCACGAGTTTTGCAGGTCCACATGGCTAATTCAATGATACCGATAGTTGATCTCTCTCCTTTCTTAAGACAAGGAGATGAAGATGGCAAGAGAAAGGTGAGAGAAGTGATCGACGAAGCGAGTTCTCTATATGGTTTCTTCCAAATTATCAATCATGGGGTGCCTTTGGATTTAATGAGCCGTGCCCTGAAACTATCAAAAACTTTCTTTGTGTCTTCAGTTGAAGAGAAAATGAAATGTTCTCCATTGCCAGGGTTACCTTTTCCTGCTGGCTATAATAGAAAACCGAATCCATCTTATGAGTTTGCAGAGTTCTTGGTTATGCTTCAGCCTGGATCCAACTTCAATGTTTTTCCTGCCAATCATCCACAGCTCCGGTAAGCCATATTTCAATATTAGAAGGATTTATGTTATATGCATAGGAAAATTTTACACCATAAGTGTAGGTTAACCATTTTTACCAGGTTACAAAGTACTTAATATTTATTATAGATATTGCTTATAATTATCTTATAAGTGTTCTCAGTGGCGTAGCCACCCTATACCAAGGTTGGTCAAACGTACACCTTTCATCATATTGCGTATATAAGTTAAATACGTACTTTATATGGTTATATGTTACTATATTTTGAACACCCTTAATAGTTGAGTGAGGCAGTCCAACGTTTTGTGATGTTCAAAATGACATATTGTTCATGGGTTCAAAGTTTTGCCGATTTTATTTGCCAAAACTAAACGGAGACACCATGTGTGGTCTATTTGATTCTCTTTCACCGAAAAATTTTCTAATAAAATAACACTTAAAACTTAAAATTTGTATAGAAATAAACAACTATTCTTAAAAGTAATTTTTTAACAAAAAGTTATTTCTTAAATAAATTTTATAATTTAAAAGCCATGCTCTACAAAAATTTCTTCAACAAAATCTCGATCTCTACAAACTACAAATCCTCTCGACTCTCTCTTTTCTCTTGTTTTATGCTTACTTTTACTAGTAAAATTTCTAATGTTGTTTTTTTGTTATTTTAATTTTGATTTATAAAATTATAATTCCAATCAAAGTTTTTCTATTGTTTAGCTAAATGTTGCGTCGTTTCATCTAAAAATAATGTGGGTACACCATTCATCGAAGAATTTTTTTTGATTTGTTTAAAGTTTGAACATCCTTGACGGAATTCCTGACTATGCTACTGAGTGGTCTGATTGTGTAAATATCTTTTACACATTAGTGTATAGAACTTAAACTCATATTAGGGACACTGCTATTTTTATCTTTTTGCAAAAACATAAGCTGTTTAATGACTAAACTGGCGCCTATTATAACTGGTGCCTATCAAAATTTTCCAACAGAGGTTTCCAAGTTTTGACATTCTCTGCTATCTACTGATTCTTGTGCTCAATGATTTGTGGAAACCCTTAAACTAATATATTCGTTTTGTAAGACAAAAGTTAGCACGCTATTGGATCTTTTCGGATTACTACAATAGTATAAAATTTGTAAATAATGGCATATGATACAGACTTGAGTTCGAAGCAATGATGCAGTATATATTTTAATTTATATATGACACAGCTGTCCAGAAATTGAATATATATATAGGAGGCAGAAATGATTAAGGGCTATATTTAATTCACATTTTAACCATTTTATTTGGGTGAATGATTGCATTCGGCCTCTATTAATCTAATGTATAGTATACTAATCTATTCCTATCACCCTTTAGGGCATGAAAAGATGAACACTCAAAATATACAAAATGAAACTTGACTCTCAAGTTCGACGAATAGCCAATAATAACAACATACCCAGTGTGGTTCCACAAGTAGGGTTTGAAGAGGGTGAAGTGTATGCAGACATTACTCCTACCTAGTATGATATAGAGAAGTTGTTTCTGATGGACACTCGCTTAAGAAAAGCGTTTTCAAAACAGATTTAACAAATATAAGGATAAAAATCAATGGTGAAAATACTGTAGCCATTGAGATAATTCAGTAATTCCTATTTTTTCAATGTTTCAGAGCAGTAATGGAAGATTTATTCGATCAATTTGTGAAGATTGGAGCAATTTTAGAGAGCATACTAAGTGAGACTTTAGGTCTGCCTCCAAGGACTCTCCAAGAATTTAACAATGAGAGAAATTCAGATGTGTTAACAGCTCTGTATTATTTACCAGCAACAGTGAAGGAAAAAATTGGAATAAGTTCACATAGAGATGTTGGATGTATAACATTTGTGTTACAGGATGAAGTTGGAGGGCTTGAAGTTCAAAAGGATGGTAAATGGATCCCTGTAACTCCAAAAGAAGGTGCCCTTGTTGTCAACATTGGTATAATTCTTCAGGTAAAAAACGAAGAAATTATTTACACTGTGAGCGTATATAAGAGTTAAGTAGTTTTGCTTATGAGCTTCTTTTTTTAATAATTATTTGTTTTTGTTGAAGGTATTGACAAATAACAAATACAAGAGTCCAAATCATAGGGTGGTGAGACCCAATGGAAGATCAAGAAATTCATTTTCATTCTTCTATAATGTATCAGGAGAAAAATGGGTTGAACCACTTCCCAATTTCACTAAACAGATAGCAGAGAAACCCAAGTATAAGGGATTTTTGTACAGTGACTATTTACAAAAGCGCAAGGAAAATAAGCTCAAGCGTACTTCTGGTCTTGAAGACGATCTTGGCTTATCTTATTTTTCACTTACTGTATAAAGATCATTTATCTGTCTCTTATCAATCGTTGTTTCTCTTCATTTTAATACGTTTTTAAACATTCTAAATTTGTACACATTTGTCTATTCTCCTGATAGAATTGATTGAATCTACACAATAATGCAACATGCAAGTGAATCTGAGAGTAAATCTAGATAGGAAATGAGATGAAGAAGCTCTGTATTTTCTCTTATGAAGAAGAAGAAATACACGTGTGGGCTATTATATAAAGACCCAATTCTAACTGCCTTAACAGCTTTTCCTTTTAGGACAAAGCTTTCTAATCTTTACACTTAGGTCCCTCAGCTTAGTTTATGTACAATTAGTATGTATCTCAATACTCCCCTTCCAGATGGCGAGTGAAACACATCAAGCACACCAAGCTTGGACAAGAGGAAATGATGTTGTTCTGATCCTAGACCCTTGGTCATAAGGTCAACCTGTTGTAGACTAGTAGAGATATATTGTGGTGCCAATTGTCCAGCTTTGATTTTTTTCTCGAACAAAATGGCAATCTATTTCAATGTGTTTGGTTCTTTCATGAAAGATGTGATTGACTGCTATTTGTAAAGCAGCTTTATTGTCACAATGCAGAGGAACTGGTTGATGGACATGAACTTGAAGCTCCTTCAACAGTCCTAGAAACCAAGTAATTTCTGCTGATGCTGCTAGACTCCTGTACTCAGCCTCTGCAGAACTTTGACTCATAGTCTGCTGTTTCTTGGACTTCCAGGAAAGTAAAGAATTCCCCAATTTGATGATGTATCCTATGACTGATCTTCTAGTATTTGGGCAGGATGCCCAGTCAGAATCACAACAAGCAGATATACTATTGATAGGACCATTACTGAGCAAAATTCCAAGCCCATGAGCTTATTTCACATATCTGACCACACGCAACTGCATCCCAATGGGATTGTTTGGGGTGATGCATAAATTGGCTAAGTACTTGAACTGCAAAGCTAAGGTCTGGTCTAGTAATGGTTAGGTAGAGTAGCTTCCCTATAAGTCTTTGATAGCTTCCAATGCCTTCCAGTTCCTCATCCCCCTTGACTCCTACATGCTTGTCATTATCAATGGTATTCAATTTCTAATTCAGTTCAATGGGAGTAGAGATTGGTTTGGTTGTTGCAAGTCCAGCTTCTGAGATGAATTGCAAAACATACTTTCTTTGAGTGAGCAGTATCCCTTCCTTTGATCTCAGAACTTCTATCCCAAGGAAATAACGAAGTTTTCCTAGGTCCTTCACCTTAAAAGAGCTGTGTAGAGTATGTTTAGCCTCCTCTATCAATTCTACATTGCTGCCACATACACTAGGATTATAACAATGTGAGGACCTGTCTTCTTAGTGAATAGAGAGTGATCATGAGCACTTTGGGAGTAACCACCTTCCAGTAAAGCTTCAGTAAGTTTAATGTTCCATTGCCTTGAGACCTATTTAAGGCCATATAGAGATTTTAGTAGTTTGCACACCTTGTTCTCCCCTTGTTTCTGGAAGCCTTGAGGCAAGTCCATGTAGACTTCCTCATAGAGGTCTCCTTGCAAAAATGCATTGTTCACATCCATTTGGAACAAAGTCCAACCTCTTGATGTTGCAATTCTGATCACTGTCCTCATAGTTACCATCTTAGCCACCAGAGAGAAAGTTTCATGATAATACAAACCTTCTTGTTGAGTATAACCCTTTGCCACTAATCTAGCTTTGTATCTTTCAATTTCCCCATTTGCTTTGTACTTGATCTTGAACACCCATTTAGATCCCCTTGCTCGCTTACCTACTGACAAGTCAACTATTTACCAAGTAGCATTGTCCTTAAGAGCCTTAATTTCCTGTGACATTCCTTCTATCCAGTTCTTGTTCCTGCATGCTTCCTTGAAGGATTTAGGCTCAACTTCTGCTGCAAACACTCCTAAATAAGCCTGGTAATTGTTAGATAAATGACTAAATGATACAGAGTTGGAGATACAGTGTGGCTTGGACTGTAATTTACATGTGGTAATGTAATCTTTTAGCCAAATAGAGGATCTTGAAACTCTGTTGGATTTTCTGGTATGCAAATCAGCATTAGGTGGTTGGTTGTGTCCGCTTGATCCTCAACATCATCACTCTCTGTTGTTGGACTCACAGCTAGTTCATAATCATCTACTGCTGCTTGTTCAATGGAGATTGCTTATTCAGAATCAGCTACTACTGGTGTGGTTTCTGAATTTTCTGAATCTATTGGTGTCACTTCCTCATTTGGAAGTTGTTCTTCAGCAGTTGAATAAAGAGCAGGTTGGGCAGGCATAAGATCAGTTGGAACAAATGATGGTGTATTATTGGGGAAGAGGTTTTCTTCTTCAATTTACACTCCTTCCTTGAAAGGAAAAATATGCTCTCTGAATGTGACATCTCTGCTGACAAATATTCTTTTGCTTTCTAGATTATACAATCTATAGCCCTTTGTGTTTCTGAATAGCCAATGAGAATGGACCTCCTTGCTCTTGGTGCAAATTTATCTTCTCCGGGTAAATTGCTTGCAAAACAAAGACATCCAAATACTCTTAGATGGTCTATTTTTGTTGGTTTTCCATGCAACACTCATATGGACACTTCCCCTATAACACTCATGTGGGCAATTTATTTATCAGATAGGCCGCTGTTCTTACACAATTTCCCAAAACCTTATTGGCACTAAGCTTTGGAACATTAGTGCTCTTGCCATTTACAAAATATGCCTATGCTTTCTTTCAACTGTGCCATTATGTTGAGGGGTATATGGGCAACTACTCTGATGGATTATTCCCAAGGAAGCCAACATTCATTACATTGAGAACTACAAAACTCAGTACCATTATCTGACCTTAACACCTTGACAATCATACTAAACTGATTTTGAATCATTGCAACAAAGTTTTTTATTACAACTAGTACTTCAACCTTTCACTAAATCAAACACACCCAAGTGTACCTACTATAGTCATCAAGAATAGTAACAAAGTAATGCTTTTTTATCATATGTAGGTACTCTGTGAGGTCCCTAACATCTAAGTGAACAAGTTGAAAAATTCCAGTAGAAGTAGTACTACTAACAGGAAATTTTAGCCTACATTGTTTAGCTAGTGGACATATTTGACAGTCCTCTTGTGCCTGCACATTAACTTTATTTTGTAATTTTGGAATATGCTGCATTGCCTTCATTGAAGCATGTCCTAACCTTAAATGCCAAAGTTCAGTTTCTTCTCCCTTTCTCAGGAAAACTCCTGCAGCTCCCACTGTTATGTTCTCCTTAAGCAAGTACAAACCATTATTCTCTCTACCAATCCCCATCACCCTGCCACCGTAGAGATCCTGGAATATACAGGAATCAGGGAAGAATGTGGCTGAGCAACAGAGATCCTTTGTAAGTTTAGATACTGACAACATGTTAAATTTAAAATCTGGCACATATAAGACATTTTTAATGTCTTATTGCCTAATATGGAGGCCTCTCCTGTGTGAGTTATTTGAGATTTGCTTCCAGTAGGAAGTTGTACTTCATGTTTCCTTCGATCATCTGCCCTTCTAACATTGTTAAGAATATCCTTACAGTGTGTGACATGATGTGTTGCCCCTGTATCTATTATCCAATCACACATACCTGCGTCAGATAACAGAGAGACTATACCTGCAAAATTATTAGAACTTTCTACAGTTGTTGGTTTTGACAGCAACCTCACCAGCTGTTGATATTGTTCTTCTGTGAGAAACTATCCTGCTCCTTGTATCTACACATTCATTTGTTTCCCTTCCTTACTATTTCCATTCATATTCACATTGTTAGTATACACCTTTCCTCCCGCAGGTTGATTCTTCCTCTTTCTCTTAAAGTTAGCTGGATATCCAATTATTTTGAAGCAATTCTCCTTAAGATGTCCTTTATAACCATAGTGTTCACAAATGACTCCAGGCTTCCTTGCTCTAAAGTCCTGTCCTTTCCCTGCTAACATAGTGAGTGGTTCTCTATGTGTATCAACCACACCTAAAGACCTCTGACTTTCCTCTTGAGCCACAATGGCATATGCTTCATTAACAGTCACAACAAGCCTCTTAGCTAACACATTGCTCCTCATGTTGCTATAACTTTCATTTAGCCCCATAAGAAATTGCAGCAAACGTTAAGATCTTAGGTGTTCCACTGAGGGTCGAGATTCTTTACAATCACATGAAGACAATGGTACTAACACATCTAATTTATCCCACAAGTCCTTCATTTTTTTTAAAAATAGCTAGTGACAGAGTCAGTACCTTGCCTTAGGGTTGCGATAGCTGTCCAGAGGTGATAAATCCTCGTCAAATCGGATAGATCAAATCTCTCCCGGAAATCATTCCACACTTTCCTTGCATTAGAGGCATAGACAATACATAGCATCAATTCACTTGACACAGTGCTCCCAATCCATGACAACACGATTGCATTACATTTATCCCATTGTTCAGCTAACTCTCCTCTGTACATACTCTTCACACAAGTTACGTCCACAAACCCTAGCTTACTTTTTCCCTGGAGCGCCAATTTCATCGCTCTACTCCACAGAGCATAGTTATCTGGCCCTGTGAGTTTGAGCGGTATTAGGAGAAGTCATGGTGCATCTAAGGGTTGTAGAAACAACGGATGATTGTGACCTAGAGATGCAACTTCATTTCCCGCCATGGCTGTCTGAAATTCAGCTTCGTCAGAGCTCCGATCCTCTGTATCTTGCCTGAATATCGATGAAATCACGACCGCCGCTATGATACCATGATAGAATTGATTGAATCTACACAATAATGCAACATGCAAGTGAATTTGAGAGTAAATCTAGATAGGAAATGAGATGACGAAGAAGCTTTGTATTTTCTCTTGTGAAGAAGAAGAAGAAATACATGTGTGGGCTATTATATAAAGACCCACTTCTAACTGCCTTAACAGCTTTTCCTTTTAGGATAAAGCTTTCTAATCTTTATACTTAGGTCCCTCAACTTAGTCTATGTACAATTAGTATGTATCTCAGTACTCCCCTTCA